TTCGTTTCGTTTCGTTTCGTTTCGTTTCGTGCGACTCGCGCTCCTCCTTTCAGAAGCAGCACCCGATAAAACATCTGACGCGTGTATTTGTATGTTATTCCCGACACGCTCTCTTAAACAGACATACCGATCGTACGATACGCGATATTCTGACGAATCAGCTACGCGTTTATAACGCATTTAGAGAGAATTAAGGGGGCGTGTTTTATGCACGTTTGTGTGTGCACATCGAAAAAGGACCACGTTAGTTGGTTCCTCCTTTTGGTAAAAAGAAAAATCATTGGCTACGTGAGTAAGCCAACATGCACGGTATAATATGTACTTTGCGTGAAAGTTTGATTGAAATTCGCATGCATTCACTCACCACATTGACGAAGTCCTGGAACGTCACCGCCTGAACACGCGATTCTTTTGCCCTGGTAAGGAGAATATCTCGTTTGTTCGGCGGGATCTCAGCTTTCCACTCGGCACTCTTCAAAGCCGCTAAAAAATCCTCCACCGGTATCTCGCCAAAACCCTCGGGATCAAACTGACAATGGGCAAAGAAGAAGAAGAAGAAAAAAAAATTCAGTCATACTCGGGACGTCGACTAAGCTGATTTTCTGCTGATAGATACTGGATCGGGAAGCTCTTTATCGGACGTACCTTATCGAACAGCATTCGCCATTTCTGTAATCAAACAAAAAGAAGTTACCAGAGTTAACTGAACAACAGTAGAATTGTACACGACCTAACAGATTTCTACAGATTTTGTAGATCAGATTTATCTGATCTAAGATTTACTGAAACATCGTTTCTTTTATGCCAAAATATAACAATTGAATTGTCATGCGATCAAAAAAAATTTTGGATTTCACACACAAATGCACGTACATCTATATAGTTAAACAATGATAGAGAAATCGACGTACATCGTTGAGAAGTTCTCGTCTGTATTCGGATTCGTCAATATCGATTTCGGAAGCAAGATCGGTATGATCGGTAACATAGCCATCGTAGTGTGCGCTGTTCGCTTCGCTACGTGCATATTCTTCCTCCTCCTCGACGGTACCGGCGATGGTCGGTATCGAAGCACCGCTTGCCAGTAGCATTACCACGCGTGGCACGAGGTCACCGGATAAATCTCCTCATTCCACCCTCTTTCGTCTGTTCCCTGAAACACACAACCGCATTATTGCATTCCTACCGATACAAGCAGGTTATTTGTACGAACGCTCAACACGTTCATTCGTACGAATTTTTATCAGTTTTCAACAACAATATCGTGAAATAACACCGATGTCGATAATCGATAATCGTGTACATTTCATAGAAATATACATATTAAATGAGGACCTGTTATAACACCTGATACGACTGATATATTTTATAATTATTAAATTACATGGATCAAGTGGATCGTAATACCAAATCGTTAACACTAAACGTACCGGCATTTTACATATACCTATCTTACCATA